AATATCGGCATATCGGATATCGGCCAAAATCCCAATATCGTGCATCCCTAATTTTTACCCACCCATCCCTATATAATCATAGTAGTGTTTAGTTTTAGAGTTAGTTCCATTAGTTTAGCAAGAGATTTTGACTGAAATATGTTTGACTTGAGTTGAATCACTTTTGTTAATGAATTAATTTTTTCAAAAAAATTGCTGTGGATTTCTTCAATATGTGTGTCGAGTTAACTGCTTGACTTTTATTTGAGCCTGAATCACATTTTCATCTGTTGTCCTAACAAGGCATGACACACTGAAAGTTATTTTATTAAATATTACATAACATAAACCAGCAAAATGCATTTAGAAAGAACGGAGGATTTATCTGTCACTTAAAATTTGCATAACCCGCAATGATCTATACATCCCATATCCACTAATGAAAAGTTAATATTAAATCAAAGAACAAACACATTTTATTCATAAGTATATATAAGGTCACTTTTTTCAATTATTTATCTGTGTATTTTCAACAAACAGAGACATATTAAAACAAAGTTATAATAAACATAAATCAATAGGTCTCTTACCCTCCTTTGTGTATATCTGCTGACGGAGGTCGTTTACTTGCTGTCCCATCCTGGTGAACCTTCTTATCCAATGACATTGATAGAGGTGCGTCTCGAACTGGCATCCCCAACACCAGCGTCTCCTTGGTAACAGAGACGGCCTCGTCACCAGTTCGACCTAGGTGCTTCTTGGCGTAGTCAAAGCCCTGAACAGGCTAGCAGAAAGAGGACAACAGAGCAGGTCAACTTTAACTCAGAAAGGCCTTTGAGGTCATTTAATGCATAAAAGTAAAACAAACTGGATAAAAAGCAACAGCAAACATACATTAGCAGCAGAAAAAAACAAAAGAAAATTTGCAGATTTAAAGAATCAGCCTTAAAAGCTCAGATGTTTTTCATACTTGCTGCAATAACCCATTGACAAAAAATCATCAAGCTAAATGGCTAATAAATGATGACAAAATCTGAGCAGTTTCCACCCTGCCACATTTCTGACTCAACAGAATAGCCAACTTATGCCAAAATGATTTAAAATTAATAAATATTAAGGTAGTAAATAACAATCAGTCCATGTTGCAATGATTGTAATTAAATAAAACATTTAATTTCTATCCACAAAACCAGGTAAATAGAAAGGGTTGGGAATAGAGCTGGTGGCTGTGGATCAGTGGCTCCCGTCCTTACATATAGTTTCCCCTCAGGGTTCCTTCAGGCTGGGCCGCCTAATTAAAGTGAGGTGGTTGGGCTCAGGTCGGGTTCGGTTTTATGGTACAGGCTGGATTTTCTGGGCCCAGTCCGTACTCCGTTGTATGGTTGTCTTTCTCCACATTCCTGCTCACACCATAGAGTAAACTGGGTTGGGGCAACTTTGTTTTGTTGTTTCGCTTAATTTTGTTCCACATTAAGCTGCAGTTGCTGTATAAATAAGCTCTAAGGAGACTGCTGTTTCACTTTCTAATCATTTTCAGTCCAGCACAACTGAACAGAAATGCTGAGCTGTGTGTTTGTGGACAAACCTCTATGGGGACGAACCTGACAGGAAACCACACACGGTTTATTCTGTGATTCAGAGATTTGACTCAGTTTTTTCCCCAAAGTACATGCTTTTTGTATTTTTCCACCAAATTAATTTTCTTATCTGACTCATGACTTCCTGTGAAACTACTGCTGATTTCAGACCAAGAGACTCGAGAGTGGGCAGCCTGGTTTAATCACTTCGATCAGATAGAATTCCTTCGATTTTCTGCAATTAAATTTTCAGTTTGATCACATGTTTAGTCACTCTGTGTTCATTTGAAACATGTGGATTTTGATTACATTCCTTTAAGAAGAAAGAGAATCGATGGCAACCAGAATCAAGGAGGAATTGGAATCAGAACCAGAACTGTTCACATTTAAATGATGTACAACCTCATTCTATTCTATTCTCTGCTATTTGAATCTATTCTCTGCTATTCTATTCTATTCTATTCTATTCTATTCTATTCTACTCTAATTAGCAGCACTGAAGAAAAAAGTTTGGCGTATGCTCAGATCGACTGTATGGAGCAGGAGAAAACCTGTATCATCAGGAAATAAGAAAAACTGTGAGGAAAAAAGAACCAAAAGTTCCATCATCTAAATCATCTCTAGATTATATGTCTTTTAGAAATTTTAATTATGTTGTAATAGTTAGTCTAATATCCTCCTTATCTATTTCTTTTTAAGCCATATTATACCATATTACTATAAATAACTGCACTGAGTCAGCCTGAACACCCACAGACAGCCTCCGTCAATTTAATCTTGTGGAAATCAGATTCAATAGCAACAACCATATAACCCCATATATATGGGGGGGGCTACAAATTTGCCCTCAACTGTGAGCCTACAGTTTCGAAGTGAGATTCTCGCCGTTAGTGATCAAGGTTCAGGATTTGTAAATGGGGTTCCCGGAAGAAGCTTGACTCAGCAATCCTGTTTTGTTTTTTCCCCCCATATTCCTTGATTTATTATTACACAAATTCTACCTTTAAAATGTGTTTCCCTAAATCTGACTCTCAGCCATGGCTTGGCTTTAAATAATCACAGTGGTTCACGTGTGGCCCTGTTACAATCAGCTAATACAAAACAACATACCATAGAGAGTCCCAGGTTTAGTTTACATGTGAGACTACTTTACATAAACGTCTGATTTATTGTTGTTATATTTTGTTTTACTGGCTTTTGTTTTAATATATTGCATCTTAATCAATAGACACCAATATTCAAATTTTATTATTTAAATCATAAAATTTAACTGACCATGTAGTTTATAAGGAAGAGAATTAGGGCCACTGGAAAAAATTTAAAAAAAGTAAAATGATTTTAACTGGTTTATTTTATTTGAGCTTAATATGGGGAGGGAAAAAAATCGGAATTCTGAGAAACAAGTCATAATTCTTAGTTTTTTCCCCATATTAAACTCAGATAAAATAAATTAAAATCAGCATTTATTATTTTTCAAGTGGCCCTTATCTGCTTCTGTAAGTTTTTGATGGTGTTTTTGCTGAGATTTTTTTTCATTTCTCCACTGAAGATAATACCATTTGCTTTCAATGCAACTGGTTTATCTGTATTAAGGTAATTTTGAGAGGATTTGATGTGTTTGAGAAAGCAATAGGCTTCGAACCATAGAATATCAACTTAGCAGCAAATAACTGAGCATAAAATCATTTTATTGTATTTTCACTGCTTCCTTCACCAAGTAGGTGATAAAGACAAACAAAAATCTCATAAAAATTGATAGCTTTACGTAAAACAGTTTCAAAATGATCCATGGAGAACCAGCAGGCTTTTAGCTCGGAATATTTCATAGGGTGTACACCTTGGTGTATCACATCTTTAGGCTTTGCAAGGTGTAGGGGGGTACATTTTCAAATGTAGACTCTCTAAAACACTTTTTCCTGCATTTTGATCTGGAATGCAGCTAACTTTTTGTCTTTGTTATAACACTACTTTTGTCCTGATTATGGGAAGTATGTGTGCTTGACTATAGGTGAAAAATTCATAAGGATGACATGAGATCATTTTTAGGTACAATATAATGTTTCATAAGCTAATTCAAATAATGATATGTTCAGACCGCGATTTGAGAAACAAAAAAGCTTCTGCTGCTTCATTTTTGATGCTTGTACACATCAAAGTCAGATATGTTGGGATCTGGAGGTCTGTCCACCTTCCTTCAGCAGATGGCGCCTCTTGGTCTCCTGGAGCTGAGCTGAGGACCACACCTGAGATCCATCAGTCATCAGGAGACCAGCTTATAAGCAGCAGCAGAACTACTCTTTGGCGCCAGAGTGTTGAATAAGTCATGGTAGCCAACCTGAGCCAACCAATCTGCTTGACTCTCTGACTCCCCAGAAACCTTGAACCTGATCCTGATCAGTTTTTGTCCTCTCTGTTTTTCTAGGAAGATCCTGACTGAAACCTGGAGCTCTGGTGGAGCTCATGTTGGGAAACCAGCCTGCCTGCTCAAAGAAGCAAAACCTGAAGATCCTCAGTCTGAATCTCCCTGCTAGTTCTCTGGAGAGAACCTAGAGAATAACTCAAGGTCTGAACCCGCTGGCCTGAAGCTAAGCTCAGCCGCTGCCAAGCTCTCTGCTGAACCCTCAGACTCTGAACCCAACCGGTTCCCACCTGACGCTCAGCCTGAATCCACTGAACAGTAAAACCCGTGTGACAAACCCCTGATCTGTTCCCTGCATCTGTTCTCTGTGGTTTGCTAAATAAACTGTTAACTTTTTCCTCTGTCTTCTGGTGTTCTGCATTTGGGCTAGAAACTAGTACCCATCATGACAAGATGTGCATCAAGAACATCTTTGAAATTCCTGAAGCGAATCCAGTAACGTGTGTCTAGATGCGTCTGATGCTTCTGCTGCTCCTGTGTTAAATGGCAGAGAGCAGCTTTGCCATATTTGCTGCAATCAGTGGATAAAAAGTAGTTTTAATATATTTTTAAGTGAGAAAATCCACCTCGAAACATCATCTGTACAGTCAGTTCATCAAGATTATGATCCTGCCTTAAAATATTATCAGAGACGCACAGGCCCCCATATACAGGCGGTGTACCGTCACTGGGAATCCCTAGCAGCAGCTGACTCCGGCCAGGACGCAACTTGGTGGGGTTCCGCTACTGTTGTTGCCGACTGGAAGTACTGTAGATGTTAAAGTTTTTCAGGAAGGTGGTACAAGCTGCAAGCACCAGGATAATAAAAGAAAACATATTTTGCTGACAGGTTTTGACATTTTAAGTTAATTTAGGCGTTAATTCTCCCTGCCAGCTCGCAGATCAGCTTCTCTGATTGGTTGATGTGGTGCGTTGAGCAACAAAAATTCAATGTTTCCAACTGCAGCATCTGCTGCTTGTGAAATTTTGAACATCTGAGCTAAGTTTCCGAGGGGAAATTAGAGCGTACCAAGCCATATAGTTTCTAATATTTTTGGTAAATGGCATACAATGTACACTTGTATGCATTACTTGCAAAAAAACTGACCAATAAAAAATGATAATGGAGCCCAAAATGCCCGGTGGTGCCAAAGATGAATCTCCATACAGACAGGAGGCGAATCACAATAACCCTAAAAAGATGGTTTATCATGTTGGACCTCCAAATAAATCCTTTAGTTTCTTGCAGGTTTTTGATACAGGTTGTTATGAACCACATGCCTAGATTTCAAACTTCATGGCACAGAAGTTTGATTTCAGTTTACAAATGATTTAATTCATATGAAACTCAAAACCTGTCCATGAACATTTTGTAGATTTGGAAATTGGAAAAAAGGCTGTCGATAATTCAAACTGCAGTAATTTGATGGCCTTCCTCTTTAACCTATTTTTATCTGTCTCCAGCAGAGCTTGCATAACAAAAAGTAAAAAAATAAATAAATAATCTGACATTGCAGCACCTTTGAAGTCAGGGGTTTTGTTATGAGGAGACAAAACACTAAAAAGGCATAAGAATATATTTTTGACAGTAGTCTATAGCTGGGATACTGCATTACTTTATGGATAAATGTCTTAATTGTCAGAAACAGAGAAAAAAGGAACAAAAGACAGCCTTACGAAGATAAAACCTGATTTGATCTTTTGCTCCTCTTGTATTTTTAGCAGCACCAGAATAGATGACGTCTAATGCATGTGACGATGCATGTTAAATTCTGAGTTTATGTAAGGTTAGGCAGAGCAGGCATCCAG